TCACATCTGAGAGATGTTTTTTCCGACTCTCCCGGACGCTTTAAAAGTAAAAAATCAGCAGATAAATGACTAAGTAATGAAAAAAAGGAAAACATCTGTCCTTGACGTTAAAAACAGCTGGTGATTTTATCTAGATAAACACATGAAAACACTAAGCCCACAGACGATCACATGATCACCATCAGCTGCTGTTTGGGAACAAGGAATAACGTCTGGGTCGTTCCCGTACCAGGCTTCCTGCTCCATCCTCTCTCCCTTGTTTATTAATGAATCTATAAACATAAATTTTCTGTCCCCACACAGATATTCATGGGTGCAGTCGAACACTCAAACACGATTGGTCCAGGACCAAACATCTTCCCCCGACCTGTTCTACATATTCCACGCTCTGCATTTAATGGCTTAATAATAAAAACTATTATGATTAATGCGAATTAAAGTGACGGGAATATAATCCATTCATAGTAAACTGAGCTGCCTGAAGATCGTCCACCATCAAACCCCAAACCAGTGAAAACACGTTGAAAGCTGCTGTTTTAAAGGGTCGGGGGTAAAGCCTCTGTTTATGAGGGGCAGCCAATGGGAAAGATGCGAGCTTTAGTTTGGTTTCTGCTCTCGTCACGTCTGGAAAGAGGCGAGGTGATCCAACAAGGTTTCTCAGGAGCTGCTCAAACTTTCTAATTTACCCTTTGAAAGCAAAGTCGCTGCTCGGCTGAGTCGTGGTAGAAAAACAGGAAGCTGAGCTCCAGCTGCTCAGTTCATATATTTACACTTAGTTCTTTTTCATTATTCAATCCATTAAAATGTTTCTGTAAACCTGTAAATAAAAGTGAGTTTGATTATTTAGTTAAATTAAACCAGCCTGGTTTTTATTTGTGTTTGATAAATCGAGGTAAGAGAAGCTGATGGATCGTCTGAGCCTGACACACGTGGACGTTTCTGACCACAGAGAAACTTTTCATGACTTTCTTAGTTTCTTTTAGACCTTTTTCCTGACGTTAAATCAGAGTGAAAATAATGATAATAGTTCCTGTCTGGAAGAAAATCACAGCCGACATAAATAATCTGATTATGTGTAAACTGTAGTGACTGTAAGCGGGTGTCCTCTGGTGCGGAGAGCCTTTAACACATTTCCTCCTGAAGCAGCAGAAAAACGTCACTGGAGGAAATGCTGTCGGGCTTCAGGAGCTGTCAAAGGTTTTTGGTCCCTCTTGTTAAATTCCCAGGATCTGGAATGTAAAGCGGATCATGACTCTCAGCCCTCCGTCTCTAAATTCGCCACCGCAGCGTTCAGGAATCGACCGCGACGCTGCGTCTTCCTACGAGGTCAGCTGGCGGTGTTTTTGCTTCCTGCAGTGAACGACGGCTCAGAAACCGTTAATTAACGGGACCGTTTGCGGTTCTGAGCGACGAAGACGAGGCCGCCGGCTTCATTTGTGGGTCGATGCACAGCTTTCATCTTCATACAACAGAGGCTGCAGACAGAGAGGAAACAAGGACATGAGCGAGAAAACAAAATCTGTCTGACTGAACCGTCTGGTTTTATGTTACTTGATCGTCGGCTGTGGCTGTAGGAACAGAAACGTCCCACAAACACCCAGCGGTGCCTCACCTTGCTCTCCAGCACTCGGCCGAGCCCCGGGCTGCCCAGCTCCTCCAGCGTCTCTGCTGCTGGTCTGTTCAGGGTCTCCGGCAGCAGGAGGCCCAAACAGGCCGCCGACAGGCCGCTCAGACAGAACACGGTGAAGGGCATGGAGGTATGGAGGGCCCGCTGCGACACACACAGACACACAACCGGGACCTTTTACTGTCTGAACCCTTCAGCCTGTGTGTTTACACAGTGAATATTTACACACACTGATCAGAAGGTCCAAGAGTGAGATCAAAACATAAATCAAGAGCAAATTGTTTGAAAAGATCCTTAATTGTGTCCTGCTGGGGGATAAAAAAAAAAAAGTGTGTTTTTTTAATAAAAAGGTTGAAAAAGAAGCAAAGCAGCATCAGAGCTAAAAGAGGAGGACTGGTTAGACAGATGTGGCACTCCGCCTCGACCTGTGGAGAGATTCCTGCTGTCACATAATGTTGCATGTGCCAGCACAGATAAAGTCTGCACTCAGACTCACTTGGAGTTGTGTGATGTTTATTGGGGACAGAGTGCAGGTAAGAAAGCAATAACTAAGATGTGATTCAATAACGTGTCTCCAGTTCCTGCAAAAAGACTCCAAGGAATCGGACCTCCTACAAGATTACTGAGAAAATGAAATCACATCCAACTGTGAAACTAAATATTTGTTTTTACTTTGTTGAGCAAAATCTTCTTCTTCAGCAAATCTCTGGATAAGACCGAGTGACACAGGTCTCTACTTTCTGCAGAAATCTCCCCACAGATGTGACTCGTGAGCACGAAACACGATGGGAGATTTTTAAAAACACGCCGGCCTTTTCCACAACAATGAGAGTCGCTCGTTTTTCCCCTCGTGCCAACATTTCATAATGTAGTCCGTCTCGTATCGTTTGCTCCTCCTGAGGTCAGGTTTTCCTGCGTCTGTGAGTGTTGCCTTCACACTCTGTAAAACACCATTAACGACTGAGAAGCTGAGGTTTGTGGGTAAAAAGCCGACCTTCATCCGTTCAGATAAACTCCACGGCCTGGATGAGCCGTTTGATTAAAGGTCCCGCGCTCTGGCTCCGAATATCTACTGCCACGAGGACGCGATCAACACTCAGGTTTATCAATCGTGCTTTTATGGAAAGAAAGGCTCTTCAAAAGACACGGTCGACTTTGCTTTCACAGCTTCGGTATTTTGTTTTTTAATTGTTTCTGAAATGCAAATAAGATGAAAATAATGTAAATTATCTGCCACGGCAACAGGAAACTGCAGCTGTGACAGAAAGTTGCAGACGCTGTTCTTGCAGGAGATTACATATATTTTTAAAAGAAGAACATTAAGAGCTTTTTAGCTGAGATTTCTGTAAACGCGTGTTCGTTGAGCTTCCCTGTATCACCACTAGAGGTCACAGTTTATTTAGGTTTGGAGCACATGACAAAACGAGGTCAAAGGTCAGTGTGACACATTAAAAGAAGAAACCGAAACAGTCATTTTCTACTTTCATGTGTCACATGTGACTGTTTGACAGGATTTTATTTCCCTGTGAAACTAACATGTTTACACACTTTGATCTGTTAGAAATGTAACTCGTGTGAAAGCGAAACGCAGCAGGTACGAAGTACACAAAGCACAGCGTGTGTTTATAACTCAGACCTGTGGTTAGAGACAGCAGGACGGTGCACGAGGGCGGATAAATCATTACGGATAAACTTTCAGGCAGGAAAACCTGCAAACACATTAATCAGGAATGTGTGAATCGGTGAGGTCATTAATAAAACTGCATCAGTCAGTGAATGCAAACGATTTCCTGGAATGAGGTGTGACCTCGTCACTCAGACGAGCTGCACGAACTCCGTTTCCTTATAACTTTGCAGAAACAGCCTAACACAGATCAAAACCACAGCAGGACAATAAGTCCAGCAGACTTTCCAAGATCACGGCTGCGTTTTCCAGCATTTTTGGCCTCTGACGTCGCGCACCCAGCAGGGTGTAGTCAGGGCGACACTTCAGCAGTCAGTGAGTCATAAAAAGCTCCAAACAGATTTTCCCCTCAGCGTCTCGATGGTTTCACTTTGGAAATGCTTCACTTATTGTGACGTAACAGCCAGCGAACACTGAATGCCTCTGCGGCGCTGCGCACACTCCCTCTGAAGTTGAAGTACAAACACTGTTTCCTTCCTTTAACAAAAACGAGCTGCATCCACAGAGACGACAGGGCTGGTGGAGGGGATGTTGGCACACTTGAGGTTTCACCGTCTATCACTTTTTAAAATCCCCCCGCTTCGTTTCAGAGTACAGAAAGCATGGATGTTTGACCACAGGCTGACATCACACTAACACTGACAGGCCGACCGTTCTCCCAGCTCACCGCGCCCTCCAGTATAAATAACTCAAGACTTTAGCAAGAAGCTGATGAGCTGTCGAATGCAAAGATTCACACTTTAAGAAACCTGAGCCGGAAACCCCCACAGGCCTCGCTGATACTTTTACTATGTATGAGGCATAAATGCAACCGCACGAAGCAAACGGGGCGACTCGGCGCCTCGTCCTCTCGCCCCTGCACACACCGGCTAAAATATTTATACCAAGATGCACAAAATACATTTCAAAATAAAATCTCCTAAAAGAACAACATTTACAAGCTACCAGATGCCCTTCTTCATCATCACTTTCCCTCCTTTTTTATTATTAAACCCTGTTTTTAATGATCTGATCTCCATGCCAACAACAGCTCCAAACAGGAAATGCTGAAAAAGGAAGTGATACTGTTACCACTGCAAACGGGGAGCTGGTTGCTGCCTTTTCAGGCTCACAGCTTCATGTGAAAACACCAGCCTCCCACAGTCACAGGTCGCGCTCACATATTTCACTGTTTTGCATTTTAAACTCACATTTAAACGTCTGCTGGTTCCTGAGAGCTGCTGAGTGGCTCTGAAGATCAGATCGAGTGCTTCCTGCTGCTGGCTCAGGCTTGTTCCAGAGCATTTACTCCTAACCTCTCTCACACTCACAGCCTTACCATGGAAGGAACGAACGGTGCCAGGATTCCTCCAACTCTGCAGGACATGGAACAAACTCCCAGCCCAGCGTTCCTGAAACAAACAATCCGTGCACGTTAAAATCAGTCCGAGCGCACAGCTTTAGGACACGCTGACTTTGAAAACACAGGAATTATCACTTAATTGAAGGTCTGTGCCAGTGTGACGCTTTTAATCTGGCTTCAACCGAAATGAGACATTTACAAACTCTGGAGGCATCTCAGCAGCTTTAATCCCGTCGGTTTCAGATTAAAAGAGAAGACGTTTCCTAAAAGTTTCTGAGCTTGTGTTGATGCTACAGTCAGCTTTGACCCAACATACAGAAAAGGCTCAATATTTTGTTCCTGGACGCCGACTGAACGCCCACCCAGGTCTCATTAACAGCAACGTTTTTATGAATGTGACCAAGAGAAACTACGTAAATATGCACCCGGCTCACCTGATGACTGTGGGGTAGAGCTCGGACGTGTAGACGTAGGCGATGTTGAACGCTGCGCTGACCATCAGTTTTCCCACAAGCGCCAACGACGTCACACTCAGCAAAGCTCCTGCCAACACAAACTCAAACTGAGAGCTTGTTCTGATTGTTCACCTCACAGCAAAAACTCATCTCGTTCCCTCCCCGAGGAGCTTGATGATGTCACAAACCTGCAGCTCTGAACCCTTAAACTGACGGCTACAAATCTGCAGCACCAAAAATGTTTTCATGCAACCTGTGTGGTTTATTATTTACACAAGACAATTTATTAAATATTACAATAAAATCTGCTTCATGTTTAAGAATGCAAGCAGTTTATTATCTGATGAAATGTGCATCAGTTCGCCCGCTATTCCAAACACAGCATGTGTAGCCGGCAGCAGAAAGGTGCAAAGATGTGCTGGTTTAACCCGTTTCATGTCTTGCACTATGCGAGGCATAACTATCATTCTGTTCTGCTTACACAACAATCACACACTGTGACACTTCTATCCATGCATATGGAAATCAGTATTTTATGCCAAGTGTTTAACACCTAAACAAGCCTTTTGCAGTTTTTCTTCCACTGGACTGAAATATGTTACAGACGCAGGTTTCATCTCCACTTCCTCTTTACTTCAGAGTGAAGTCACTGACTTGTCAGGCTGACAAAGGCTCTTTCATACATGCACCGGCAGAGCTGCACCTTGGTAGGTGTTACCTAACGTGAGCAGTGCAAACATGTCTGAAGACGACTACTTCCTGCAGCTGCACATATTCCTCTGCAGTGCCGTCGAATATCAGAGCCTCACCTGCATTTTCAGGAATGAAGGTGGTGCAGAGGCAGGCGGAGCCAGCCAGGCACAGGAAGCTTGCCATGCTTTTCCTCCGCCCAGCCCTGCAGGACGAGACAGACATTCATGCAGGAGTTAGTGAGTAAGCAGCAGGAAGACCAACAGAAAACAGGAAGCAAAGTGAGGTTTTTCACACAGGCTCCACAGAAGTTCAAGCGCAGCTTCAAAAAGTTTGACTAACAATTTAAAATCCAAACAGGCTGTTTTTGGACGAGTTGCTCAGAGCTCATCCCTGTATTGCTGTGGCTGAGTCACACACCCTGTGGAGGAAGCTCATTTAAAGCTTGCATCCTCAGTCTTGTTCTGTCGGTCACTACCCACAGCTCACAGCCACGGCTGAGGGCAGGATCGTAGATCAGCCAGTAAATGCACAGCTCCACCTTCACTCTCTGACCAGGCTCGCTGGTGTATGAACCCTAGAGAGCTGCGAGGGGTTTGGGGCCTGACTGATCCCAGACCTGTTTCATTGGAAGCTCCTGATAAAGTCTCCTAAGCCAAACTGGTCGCTGTGAAAGGCTAAACATGATCTAAAAGACCTCTATGAACCAAGGGCTCATGCTACCACACAGGACCAGCAGCCACCTCCAGGAGAGGCTGCAAGGAGGAGGGTCGGGCAGAGGCACCGGTGCTTCCCTCGGTTAAATAAATAAAATCAATGAACCCTGTTTGATGTAGGATCTATTTTAAATGATTTTCTTACTGCTGTCTACATCCATCAAGTAAAAGCAGCAGCTCACATTACAGCTGAGCGAGGACGCCGGCTCACAGCTACAGTTACACCAAAGGTAGGAGCGTGGTGGGAACCATCCTCTTCACATATTTCACAGGTCACAGTTAAAATCACACAGCAAGTGTCGTGTGTGTGTGTGTGTGTGTGTGTGTGTGTCTCTCACCAGTGTTTGTTGATGAAGTATATGCAGAGTGGGTATGCCGGCAGCTCCACGAGGCCGTACATCGCCACATTAACATAACGGCTACCAGACGTCTCGCCGGCCCCCAGAGTCAGCCCGTAGTACACCAGACTGCAGGCGTACCTGACATACACACACACACAGACACACAAAATGTTTGTTGATAATATTTTAAAAAGACAGAAGAAACAAACGAGTTCATGAACCTGAAACTGTTCAAACTGACGACTCGTTAACAGAGCAAAGAAACGACTGTGCAGCATCACTTCTGCTGACTGTGCAGGAGACGCCTACTTATTTGAGGATTTCTTTATTTAGCTACTTCTGCTTGTTACTTCTCTTTAAACTTCTTTTTCTGTGATGCATTTTATATTTTTGGAAATACTGGAAAACCCCCAGTATAAGACCTTCAGATCATTTTTGTTTCACATACATGTGGTTGTTTAAGTGTATTAGAAGAAAAAACTGATCATTGGTATCGATTTCAATGATGCCGTCCTGCATCATTTCTACTTATTTTATGGTTAAATTCAGATTTTGCTTGTTTTAATTTAAGGGTTATTTTGTCTTTTTATTCCTTATAATCCTTCAGAAATGTTTTCACATCACTGGGATCTTCTGGAGAACGTCAGCAGGTCGACTGCGTGTGAGTCATTAAAAGATGTGTTCACAGGACGAGCAGAGCAAACGTGTTTACGGTGAAATCCTGTTTGTTGTGCTAACTCTGTGTACGTTCAGCACCTTCGACCTTTTGCTGTTTGCTATAAACGCGTCAGAAGACGCAAAAGGTCTGAAGTGTGGGAAAATCAGTCAGCCCGAGCTGCTCCACTTCTCTAAAAGAATGAATCAGCTGCTGAGGTTAGAGGCCTGCAGCACTGACGCTGTAACTCAAACTGAGCACAAAAGCAAAAGAGATGAAGTCTGTGAGCGATACAGAAAGTGTAAAAGCTGAGCAAAGATCAGCATCAGAGCCTTTTCTCAGGGACGAAGGCAGCAGGTGTGACGCACGGATCCAAACATGGCAACAAACCCCAAACTGCAGCGGCTCAGTTATGAACGTGTTTATTTAAAGGTTACGCCGAGCAGCAGCAGAAACAACAGGTTCAACTGTTACTGCAGAGAAAAGAGGAAATGCAGGAGCGTACAGAGACTGACACATGAGAGCACAACACGGCTCAGCTTCCATCATGAAGCGTCACCCTGCACCGCCCGACCGAGTCTGTGTGCATCAATAAGTCAAAGGAGATGAACCGAAGAGAAGTGAGGAAGAGGAGCAAAGCTAAAGCAAAAAGAGGAGCGAGCTGGATGTTTGGAGGTGTGGACTACATGACCTACGTGCCTCTACTCCCATGAGATAACATATGATGGTATGACTGCACTCTTTGTGTTTTGGCCTTCAAGAGGTGCTCCTATCAAAGCGCTCACTCTGTGGAATGTCCAGAAGTGCCGGGAAACACAGACTTCCTGTTCCTGTTAGAATTTCCACAGTGACACAGCCTACGTGTGGATTCTTATTCAACCCACAAAGTTTCTCTCTGCCTCCAACACAAGCAGCTTCTTCTTCTTCGTGCTCTTTATTCCTTCACAAGAGGTGAAAGCAGCCCGACAGCCGGGAATCCACCACAGACATGTTTTCTCTAAAGATTAGCTAAAAAAACCACAACAGACGTTGCAACAAAAAGCTGTGGTAATAATCTGCTAAGCCTAAAAATCACACCAGTTCCTTTCTAGGCATTTGCACAGGAAACATCCAACGGCCTCCGCCTTAGCTTACACCCTGCAACCATGGCCACATACAGGACTCACCCTAGGCTGGAGTTTCACCATAACACTCAGCACCATCCAAACTAGATCCAGCCAACACACATGAGACGACCTTTAACCTCTGACATGTCCCTAACAAACATTCCCTTTGCCCCACATT